GTCGGGGGCGTGTTTGCCGCCGCCGCGGCCGGCGCGTCGTGATGTCAACAGAGTCGTACCGTCGCACTTGAGCTGTTCGGTGGAGAGGGCGCCCAGGCCGCGGCCCACCACGGTAGGGGGCGTGGCAGACGGCGCCCGGGTCGAGGAGGCCGCCGCGCGCCAGCCGAGCCAGCCACGTCAGGTGACAGTCGCACACCAGCGGGTTGCCCTCGAGCGTGAGAGCGCGCAGACGGGGGCTGTGCCGCAGCAGCTGAGCGGACAGGTGCTGCAGCCGGTTGCCGCCCAGCCGTCTGGAAGGTCAGGGGTCAGAGGTCACAGGTCACGGATCAGTCGGGCGGGGCGATGGGCGCCAGAGCATTGATATGTGAGGAGACCGGCTGGTAACGACCAGGCGAGTTCTGAGGGACGTTCGAAATGAGGCCGTTCCTCTTCTTCGGAATGACAGTTATTCGCGGGGCTTTAATTACCAGCAACTCTCAGGCGTAGGATTCATCGGAGCCGCGCCGTTTCTCAACGTCCCGAGACCGCGATGGCCGCTGATTTCGTCAGGGGGTCTGCATTGAATGGGCCCGTCCCGCGATCACACAGCGGTCGCGGGCACAATGGGACGCGCGGCTGACGCCTGTTTTACCATCTGCTTCCCGTGCAGCGTGGTCATCATGCATGCGCAGATGTCCTGATGTCATGGTGTCACCCACTCACAGAATCTCCAGCTGGTTGCTGGAGTCGGTCGCGTCCGCGCTGATGCAGCGCAGCTGGTTATTCTCGAGATTTCTGCGGAGAGGGAGACATTCCTGGTGTCAGGCAGTGGGAGCGCGAAGCGGCTGATGCGTCGGAATGCTGACGACAGGAGTGCCGGACCTAATATGACAAGTTGGAGCTACATACACGTGGTCATAACTTGTGAGCACGAACCTGACCTTACATTTTACGCCTCCGTCTTGGGAAATCAACCACACTGGCTGTGGCCACGAAACCTGCAGCCAGTAGTTTTCATGACTAATTATTGGTAAAATGCCTGTTCGAAATTTACCAACTCTACAGCATTTCACATATCCTTACAAAGCTCACATGCTCAGCGTAATACCCGTTTGTGTTGACATTAGCAGTAAATTATCGCTTACATTTCTTGGAGTTTCGCTAGTTTTGCGAATGTTCCAGAAGGTATGCTCCTTATCAGGTTGTGGCTCAGGTCTCTGAAACGGGATATTCACAGTCAATGTTTCACCTGTTGCTCTCTTCCCTTCTCTTACTCTGTCTCTCCATCTCTCTGTCTCTCTGCTTCTGTCTCCCGGCCTCCCTGTCTCGGTTTTTGTCTTGTTCCCTTTCGCTTGATCCGTTTGCCTGTAACTTCATCTCGCTCTTCCGTTTCTTTGTCTGTTTCCTGTCCTATACTTCCCAGCGTCGGCCCCCCCCCCCCCCCCCCCCTCCCTCCCATCGGAGTAATCTAACGGGCCAGCAAAGCCGCAGGCTGACACCTGGCTGACATCAGTCAGGCTTACATCAGTTACGTTTCCGCAGACTGACATCAGTCAGGTCGCGATTTGAGCCATCACGCGGCTGGCTTACCGGGAAACGCTGTTTGTGCATGGCTTTCCCACTGGCAGCCTCTACACGGCCCACACGTTCAAACCACACCCTCTAAGAACCTCAAACACGTCAAAATCTGACAGGCCCTTCGATCAGATCGAGATGGGTAAATGGAATAACCCGATCCAGGGTGCGAGAACACGGGAAGTGAGTCCGCGTGGCTTGGCACCATTCTTTATTACAACGCCGCGCTTTTTCGGTACACCGTGATCCATCAGCCTCTGTTTATTCAGACTTAGCCGGCTGAGCCGGCTCCCCATAACTGTCTCTTGACTGGCAGAGGCCCACAAACCTTGTGGGTCTGGCTGCTAGCCGCAGCCGGTGCAGACCACCCAGTGGTCAGCGGTCTCCGACAGGCATGAAGCCAGAAGCCCGACTCTGACTTTCGCGTATCATCCCTGTGTCCAGAATGTGACGGTATGGACGCCGACAAAATCCGGCCAGTGTCTGACAGCGAGATGCTGTCGCTAGGGACTTACGACTATATATCATTCATAACGTGATGACAAATCTGTTCGCGGAATTAACGAGAGGGTCTAACGGGACAACCTGGGCGTTGGGCGTTCAATCTTGCAAGGTTAGTGGCATATTAATCGTTGAAAGGAGAGCCTAGGGGAGATATGGTTGATGCCTACGTGCTGATGGATCGGCGAGATGTGCGGCATGGTCGATAGTCGTAGTCTGTCACTGATGCCATGCACAAACTTGGACTAGTTTTCCTGGTCTCTCTATCAGTGTTCCACCACAAAGATCATCTCCTTGTCACAGATCTCCACATGCCTTTTTTTTTGCAACGGTGTGTTATCGGCCAAAATGTGTGAAACATCAGTCTGCCGCGCTCATTATAAGGATGCATTCTGAACGTAGAAACGACACGGGTATGATCTCTCCTCGATGCTTGGCCTCCCGCTTCCGCTTGTATATATTGCTGTTCGAAAACCACTAATGCTACATTCAGAAAGTTCGATACGTTACGTTGGTACGTTGCGTTGGTATGTAAGGTAAGATCGGCACATTCTCGGCATGTTTATGTCACATGAAATCGGACACTTGTAGCGCAGGTCGTCCGCCTCGTAAGGGCCCCTCCGCTGAGCTGCATCACTGCTGTGGGACATCTGCGATGGGCAGATCGTTTCTTTCGTGTGCCTGTCTTGTCCGTGGTCTATATCTCTACAAAGGCTTATTTTCATATCTATCCTACCTTCGTGAGCCGCGCGGTTCGTATGACTATGGCCTTGACCTTTGAGGGGTTTGACCACCTCCTGAGCCGTGACAGTCTACCCTGTCCGTGAGCCATGCCACAGTCCGACACCCTCGTGAGCCGTTACGCAGTGTGATAGTCTCGGTCACTCACGAACACTTTGGCCGTCTCAACAAGCCGCAATATATTCTGGTTGACCCCGTGGCACATGCAGCCGTCCAGGCCGTCTCTGTAGCTAATGTCGTTCCCGTAGCACGTCCAGTTCCGTGACGCCGCCTCCCCGTCCCTTTCCCGAGCCGCTCTGGTCGTCTCTCGGTCCCGTGCGGCCGCTCCGGTCGTCTGCCGGTCCCTGCAGCCGCTCCGGTCGTGCCGGTCCCGTGCGGGCTCCGGTCGTCTCTCGGTCCGTGCGGCCGCTCCTGTTGTCTCTTGGTCCCGTGCGGCCGCTCCGGTCGTCTCCCGGTCCCGTGCGGCCGCTCCGGTCGTCTCTCTCGTCCCGTGCGCCGCTCCTCGGTCGTCTCTCGGTCCCGTGCGGCCGCTCCGGTCGTCTCCCGGTCCCGTACAGCTCCTCCGGTCGTCTCTCCCGGTCCCGTGCAGCTCCCCGGTCGTCTCTCCGTCCCGTGCGGCCGCTCCTGTCGGTCTCTTCGTCTCTCCGTCTCGTGCGTGCCGCTCCGGTCGTCTCCCCGGTCCCGTGCGGCCGCTCCGGTCGTCTCCCTGTCCCCGTGCAGCTCCTCCGGTCGTCTGCCGGTCCCGTGCGGCCGCCCCCGGTCGCCCCCGCCACGCAGCCACTCTCCGTGTGTCGTGCAGCGGTTCCGGCTGGCCGGCCGCGGCGCGTGACGGGGCTCACGGCCGGCTCACGCGGCGACACGGCCTATCGCCTGCCAGCCGATCGCGGCCGTAGTCCGCCGCCGGGTGGCGCTGTCCGGTCCGCGCGGACAGCCGCGCCAGCCGGACACGACCGCCAGATCGATCGGCCGTCTCAGCGGCGCTTTATGGTGACGGCGAGTGACGTTCGTGACGGGAAGGTTGCAAGGGCACGGCACGGCCGTCTCCGCACCAACCACCCCGAGACTTTCGAACACCTGCAGCGGGTAGCCTCCCGACTTCAAAGAAATTTTGCGCCGGGGCAGGGAAGGGATTCGAAACCGCGCTATGCCCCCATCCCCCCCCCCCCCCCCCCACCCCAGACCCCGATGTTCTGCAGGTTGCTGGCAGCCCTGCAGGAGGGCGTCCGGTGGGCGTTTCAGCCGTTCGGGGCCACCACCAGCGCGGCAGGTGATTGGCTGGGTGGGTACTCTGCATGCCTCCGGGACACTGGGTGACGCCAGCGTGCCGACATACTAGGCCAACTAACGGATGCTGTATGAAATCGGGTCTCTGAGAGCAGCTTTTGGGATCCGTAGCGTACAACAGGTGTGACTAACCAGAGGAAGAGGAGAGGCGTTAGATGGCGGTGGCGTCAGCCGGGTGCACTGTAACTGACGGTTACGGGATACGTGAGCGCCCGAACATTAGTGAGATGAAGTAATGGCGTAATGATAATGACAGAAAATGAAGGGTTATGATATCACGTGAAAGCAGTGGGTGGAACATTCAGAAATGGATCGGGTTCCGGCTTACCAGCGGACGGCGCGAGACAGAAAACGATGAACCATTTCGCCATTCATGCTTCTCATATGGTCAGTTATTAGGGATTACAGCAAGCGAAGAGCGAGCAAATTTTCTGGCACTAACGCCCAACGCGGATGTTTTATTCATGACCAATCACGTTCTGGCCCATGCTGTACCGACCTCGTCCTAATCCAAGCGTGGCACCTGCCGATCAGGAGTGTCTTCGCCGCCAGTAAAGGTCAACCAGCCAAAAATGTGCTAGGAAATCCCAGAGCTAGAATGCAGCGTGACAGTTCGCACCCAAGACTAAGAGCCCCCCAACAACCGCTGGTGCCTGCCGCCACACTCAGGACATCTCTCCGGTCGCTGCTGTGAGCCGGCCGGACGCGGGTGGGAGGCGTCAGAGGACTCACCAGAGGCCCTGACAGCTACCGGGACATCGCTCTGGTCGCCGCTGCGAGCCGGCCGGACGTGGGTGGGAGGCGTCAGAGGACTCACTAGAGGCCCTGACAGGTCCCGGTAGGGGGCTAGAGCCACGTGGGCGGGAGGGAGGACAGGCCAGAGCGGGGGGAGCTGCCACCGCGGGCGCCTGTTTACCGCCGGCTCGGCTCCGAAGCGGAGAACAGAGACGGCGGGCGACCGTACTGTTGACCGCGCCGCTCGCCAACCTGGTCTCCATGGCAACAGCTGGCAACATTCCGACTCGGAGACGTCTGTATGTGGCTGGCTGCCGCAGCCGGCGCAAGACCGGGCGACTGTCAATTAGGGCCAATTTTCCCGCTGGCGTGAACTGGATGAATGAAGCAGACTGCCGATGTTTGGAGAGAGACCCCCCAGCGTGGAGAATGTATCATCACCGCACAGGCCGTCAAGAAAACCATCGCCGGCGCCCGATCACTTTGTGTCGCTGCCAGGGTCTGGAAATACAATTTCCGAAAGATTTGCCACTTGCGGAATAATTTGCTTCATTTATCATCACAGCCGTGCCGGCCTGCGCGGCCAATGCCCAAGTCATAGGCGTTACGGCGACATAATGGCCTGCAGACGGAATTGATAGCCGTCGAAGAATCAGATAGGTCCGGCGCTCGTCGAGGAGGTGCCCTCCATTAATCAAAGCGGGTGCCGCGCCGCCGCCGGTGGCTCCTCTATCGGCGGGCCGCTGGTCTGCCCACTCCCTGCCTCTGATGAGGTCCTCTCTCCTGTGCTCGCTCGGCGCCGGCGATCCCGCGCGAGAAAGGTGTCGTAAGTGCAGGCGGCGCAGTGCGCGAGCGCGGCTTCGGTGCGGAACTGAATGACTTGCCCGTCCCGAGTGGGAGACGGCGCTGCGTTGTAACGTGTCGGGGCGCCGTCACTGCTCAAACCGGGGCTGCGTGTCGTGGAGGCGGGACGGCAGGCTGGGATGAAGTTTCTTGTTCAGTGGGGGGGGGGGGGGGACACACACCCCCGACATGGGCTCTTGACCCTCTCCCTCCCTAGCTCTGGACAGAAAGTGCTTCCAATCCGTAGAGAAGCCCGTTGGCTTGTGCATTTCAGGGTAGGTTTCGTCATTTATCTTTGTTAAAGCCCCATCCATCCCCTCACCAACTTATTTTGCGAAACTACTACGCCCCAGACTGGACATATGAAACTTGCGGAACGGTTTTTGATTACCATAACAGCTTCCATTGGTGAAATCAACAGCCTGAGGATGTTAGCTATCTTTAGTGAGCCGGAAAATGAAGGAACGCTTAGCCACCTCCTCAAGTGGCATCGCCTTAATACCCGTCAGATAAAAAAAAACTGAAAAGTATTCGTACG